ATAAAAATCCTTGGCAAAGCATATTATCCTTCAATAATTACGGAGCTAATAATAATAATCCTAATACAGAAAACAAACAAATTTCACATAAATTTGGAAGACTGAATTTAAAAAAAGCCGGCTTCATGACAAATGATAGAAAATAGTGTTTACAAGAGATACATTTATTCAATGTAATCAAATAAAATAGCTATCGAGCAAAAAATAAATCTCAATATTCTATCACGCAATCTTAGAAACAGAGCTGTAGAAAAACGAATAATGAGATTTTTGTTTTCCCCCCTTCGCGATCCGGAACGAATCCCAAAAACCATCCACATGTATCATTCTTGTTTCTGACCCGGTTATTTGCCTTCGACGGGTACAAGAAATCAACCAGAGAAAGGGAAAATGCTTTTCCAAATAATAAATTACCCTTAAAGAACACGCGTGAAAGGGATTTTTTCCTCTTTTTTCTTTTCACTTTTTTTTCAGCTTCTATGAAAAAAAGCAACAAAAAAAAAAAATCGATAATATTTTCAATTTAGAAAATAGTAAATGAAAAATTAGATAGTACACGACTGGTTTAAGTTAAAAGTGTCCTAAAAGGTTATAAGAGAGCGTATTTAAATATAATGGACGAAAAAAAAAAAAACTTAATCGAGTTTTTTTTCTATTTAGTTCAAATATTTATTTTATCCCCAAAATTTATTTCTCCATTAGTCAATTAAATAATTTTAATAAATCAATTCTATAAATATTAACACTTTATTAAAAAAAAAAACTATTTTAATTGCAAGAGAATAATCATTTATAAATCAGTAATTTTTTTTTTTGACAACTTATTGTTGTTGTTAAAAATATTTTAAAAATTAATAACTTTTAGAATAACTGAACTTTTTTTTCATTATGATTTTAAAGAAGAAAAATAATTTAAACAGTCTACTTAAAAAAAAAAAGATGTATATTTTATACTTAATATTCATGAACCATAAAACAAGCCTAACAGAAATCTTTAAAAAAAAAAAAAATACTTAAGAATAAAAAATAAAATTTTTCTTATACTCCCACTCGAAATTAAAAATTTTGTTTCAAAATTTATTTTCCACTATAAATAGTTGAATGAGATTACAAGTCCCGAAATTTTATGAAGATAAATAAATCTTCTCCAAAAATGAATTATCGCACTGCTCTTAAATGATAGAATGCTTAGCTACCAGTATCTTCGATTGCGCAAAATGTCAGCGGTATGTCTTCTTTTAGAAAACCAACAAGATTTAAGAAAACACTTATCGCCTGAACAAAATATGCGCCAACCTCAATACACATTTCCCGCCAAATGTTATGATAAGAGAACTCACCCTTCTCCTTATGATGCATCTCCTATGCAAAGATAAAAAGGCAGATATGTAAGCCGTCGCATATGATCAAGGTTACAGCTGAACGCAGACGCTCATATGGTAAACAGTGGCAGCGGTTCCTTGAATTCATTTTTCGCCGATGGATGGCGCTAGCAATTGTTTGCCTCAGTGTTGCCAAACGAAGATTGTCTCTATCAAAATTCTCGTTGGTTTCGGATTCGAAGAGCTGCTTTATTTTAGTTTTTAAAGAGTACGGGAGCTATTAAAAACATTGATAAGAGAACTCAAAACCTATAAAAACTAGTCACTTGCCAGCTAAAGACATTTCCAAGCTGAGGATTTCTTTATTTTCACAAAAAAAAGTTTCCAATATTATTGGTGGGGGAAAGAAAAAAGTCAAAATTTTTAGGAGGCAAATTCAAAATGCAGTTTAAGAAGTGGGTTTTCGTGCATTTCTGTAGAAGGGAAACAAATTAATAACAATTAAGGTTTAGAAGTATTAAATAAATAAAAGTATACAATTAAAAAATTGGTAGGTTGAATATTTTGATTTTATGAATAATTATCTTTTTTTAAATATTAAAATAAACTATAACCAGATTTTTTTTCCTTTTATTTATATATAAATTAAGTAATAAATCTGATAAATATTTGATAAGGAATAGCTATTGATTTACAAAATGAAGCTTTAGATATTTGTACTGATTTAGTCCAGTTTCCCAAATAGTAAAGAAATATTAATAGACTAAACTAAATAGGCAAATTTTAAAAATTGAATTGCTTAGAAATCACAATTTTTTGGGAATATTTATTATATTTCCAAATATTTAAGACGAGAACAGTTATAAACTTTATTCCTTTCTTATTTTAAGCATTTGTAAATTTTAAGTAATCCAAAATAAAGGTTCAAAAAGATAAATTAAAAATTATAACAAAATGTCTCACTAATACTTTTAAAATAAATTTAATCATATTATTTGTTAGAAAATATAGGTCAAATAATAATGTGAAGAAATTAACTTATTGTGTTTCGCTCAGTGAACGAATACATTTTTAAAACTAAGAACTACTTAATGTAATTAGTTTTATAAGCACCTATAAAAGAGAGTTAAAGGTAAATTATTAATAAAATAATTTACTATAATGGTCCTTGGAAGAAATTTTTTTTCTTCTTTATTTCATGTTTAGCAAACTATGAGTTGATCAGTTCTGCAAGCTATGAAAAAATTTTACAAAAATTTTGAAATGATTGCAAAGCTTGGTTGGCTGATGGTAAAATTAAATGTAATTTTATTTAAAATGATTAGTAATAAAACATAATTAAATCAGAAAATCGTGATAACTATCAGAATCCAGCACTATGAAATTGACAATATGTAATAAAAGAATAAGATAAAAAAAAAGTAAATCTATGGACAAATGGAACAAAATAAATTTAATTTTGTCTAACCTAAAGTGAAAAGCGTTTGTGATAGAAGTTAATTATAAAAGTGTAACACTTGACGTTTTTTGTTTTAGGTTTGACAAAAAAATAAAATAATTTTCTCCTCTTTTTCTCAGTGGAGAAATTGAGTTTTTAAAACTTTCATTATGTTTTTTTCTCATTAGTTTTGTGCCTGCGATTTTGTTTATGACAGAGAAGGGGAAAGGAGTTGATAATTCATTTCATGATAAAGTTTCAATTCAGGCAATTCAGCAAGCATTTGAAACATGAAATGTAATTACATACACAGTTCCAGTTAAAAACTTTAACTAGCGCAAAAACAGTCAAAATTCAAATTAATTATGAACACTTTTTGGTGATAAATTGTTTTACTAACAGTCAGATAAATATTTAAACTTGCATTTTCATTCAGCACAGCAGTCTAGTTAAAATTAAAGCTAGTCAGATAGCAGTTAAAATTTTAATTGGGAGATTCCATTTTTACAAACATGAAGCAAATCGACAAAAGCAAAGTAACCAATAAAAACCGAGTCTGGTAACGTAACAATTAAAAGAAAATAAATATTTAAGAGTTTAAAAATATGGTACATGATCTCCAATCACTTGACATTTTAAAATATATTATCAGCTAAATGCATAATTAGCTAAAATGTTTCAGTATGTTACTTGTTACAACTCAGCTCTACAGTCCATGAAGGACCTTGACTTCCACAGGATAGCAATCTATTTGCAATAATTCTTAAGATTACTGTTTTAGTATGTACTATTAGCTAAAATGTTTATAAGTTTTTAAATGTGTTTTATTATAAATATTAATGAGCAAAACTTTAGAAAACATATGAAATATCGTTGTAAATACTAATTTGATACAGTAATTAATATGTTTGCAAACAAAAGCTAAGTAAACTGAGTACCTCAGTACGACATTGAAAGCAATGTACAGTTTAAAGCTCTGCTATAAAATGCAAAATGCATTGAAAGTAAAATTTGTAAGGGTAAGTTACTTTTCTAAAAATTAAACAAAAATGGTAATAAAACTTTTTAAAAAATGCAGCCTTAATAAATACAATTAGAAGAGAAATTTGAGACGGACATCAATCAGAAATACAAAGCTGAATGATAATGATACAATGTACTGACTGTAAGAATGATAAAGTAGAGTATTTAAAGTATTTTCCTAAGTATTTATAGTGGCAGTGAAATGAGAATTAAGTAAGTAAATGTTTTAAAAATTAGTGAGTACTTAAAAACATATACACATGTCAAGTGGTGTTTAATACATACCTTTGAATTATTGAAACATCTCAGTGGTTAAAATCATGTTAAAGCAGAAATTTTAATACTACTTTAAATGTTTAGGAAAATTGTAGATCTAAATGCCACAGTAGTTGGCAGGTAAGTGACACATTTAAAAAAACATGAAAAGCATGATTTTTTGTTGTTAATGTTCACAAGATAAGAAAAAGTCAAAAATAAACAATATACTTAATTATGAACAAATAAATAAAAATTTTATTAGCAATTAAGTTAATTATGAAACTAGGATCTTTATTACATATGCATAAAACTATATATGTTAATTCAAGGTTATGTTCTTGCATCAAAACTTCAATATAAAGAATTAACGATTTGCACAGCTTCTTTTTAAAAACATTGGAATTTTTTTTTAAAGCAACTGACAAGAGCTAAATTTGTGGTCACAATAAATGCAATAATTGATATTTAAAATCGAAATTATTTTTTGAAAACAGGAGTAATTAGTTTTAAGTAACTATTCTTATTTTAATTAATTATTCTTATTTTAAATAAATATTCTTATTTTAGTTAATTATTCTTATTTTAATTAATTAATGGCATGAGGGCACACTGGTTAACTCACTGAACTGTCATTATGTAGGACCCGAGTTCTTATTCATGGCAGCGGTTAGAAGCCCATCCAATTTAAAATTGGAATAAAAGAAGACAGTGCACAATATTGCCAACATCATGTTATTGGTGGATATCATGAAGCCTTCACCCTCAAGATCTCCATGGCTGACAAACCAATACAATTGTTTTACTTTTATTTTTAGGTAAAACTTATGATTCCTTTTAACTTTAATGATACAAACAATTCTTCAAATGATCTTTTTGTACAGCTATGCTCTTTATAAACACATGTTGGAATCCCTATTAAGATAAACTTTAAAACTTCTTAAGCAAATAAAACAACAATATTTAACAAATTATACTTTATTTACAGTATATTTTGAACAATAAATTCTATGAAAATATTTTTAACAATAAGTAGAGAAAATCTTTCAAAAAATTTGATACAGTATCTTATACTGAGCTTTCATCAACTTTAAAAGCACCAGGCACCGTTAATATTTCAGCGCTTTTATCAGTGACGAGAATTGTGTGTTCGAATTGGGCACTTCTGCTGTTATCTTCAGTAGTTGCTGTCCAGCCGTCTTCTAATATAACTATGTCAGGCTCACCATCACAAATTACAGGCTCTACAAAACAAGTCATTTGTAGATAATTATATTTAATGTATTTACTTTGATTTTACAGTCAATGTTTTTATGTACAACTTATTCCATTCTAACTAACGATACATAAAGTCCCATTTTCATTTCCATAAATGCAATGTTAATTTAGCGGAATATATTTCCATAAAACTACCAGGAAAAAATAAGTGTCAAACATTCAAAACATTGACAATGTGTTATTTGATTTAGCAAACTTTTCAAAAAATTATTATTAACCACAATTTTTAAATTTTGGCAATGTGAAACATTTTAAACTACCTTATATTAAAATTAATAACATTCCTGCATAGAATAATTTAGCATGGAGAAATAAGAAGGCCTGAAGAATGGAAAAATTACAAATATAATAGTGAGACATTCCACTTTAAACTGTAAGTAATAGGAAAAAAATATTTTCGTTTTACCAGAAAGGTTTCATATTTAACTGTAATAAATCTAATTATGACAAAGTAAAATTTTCCATGCACGCTGCATTACTGATGATATTAATCATAACAAAGTTAGCTATAGCTGAATATTTTTATTACTTCATTGAGGCATAAGTCAGATAAACATATGAATAGAAAATTGAAATGAATCTTTACCAAACCAATTAATTTTAAACACAGCATCCACTGGATTAAAATATTATTTAAAACTTAAATTTGACTTAAAAAAAAGATTTTTTTGTCGTTAGTATCAAATAATGGTTCAAAATAACTTAATTTTGCTAAGTTATTTTAAACCACTTAATTTGGTATGATAATGTGATGTTTGTATTAGCTCACCAACAGAATTCAAAATTGCTTACCAAGTGTCATAATGAAAGTATTTTTAGTATTATGAAATGAAAGATTTTACTTTATTCTTTTAGATAATACACTACAATGTAATAATCACTAATTAGTTTCAAAATACGAAAAGTGGTAGACTAAAAGAAAAGGCTTTCTTTTAGCTAAGTATCCCAAGATCTTGTATGTAATACTAGCTATTGCTCATGGCTTTGTGCACAGAAGTACTTAGATTTCAATTTTAACGATCACCAGAAGATGTTTGTGATATTGTTAAAATTCTGCATGGATTGAATTTCAGTAATAATTTAAAATCTGTACCGCAGCTATTAAATCACACAGTACACCATAAGTGGAAGTTCAGAACATTTCAGAGCAGTAGGTGGTAGAGCCAGTGGCAGAAAGTTTTGTAGCTGTCTGCGACAAGGTCTAAAAATTTCATAATTTGTCTGCAAAATTTGCATGTAGTTCTAGTGTATGTAAAAAAGAAAGACATAGAAGAATTGTTTTTTAATGTTACGCATTACTTCAGTTCTTGTTGGATTTCTGAAGTGCGATGGATAAGCAGAACCTTACATCGATATTAATGCTGCTTTTAAAAATCTACGAGTACCTTTAAAACCAGAAGGGGGCCTATTTAATTGACTGAAAACCCTTTTATTGTTAGTGCCTAATTCTTCATTTATTCCATCTCTTGACCTTAGTCTGTGTTTTCCAATAACATTGATCACAGATCCTCAAGTTTCAAACGCAGCCTCAGAGACTGGCGTAGAAGTAACAAAAAGAAGAAACTTCAAAAATATAGTTTTTTGTCCAGTTCATGGAATGCAATTTTAAATAGGTGTATCAGATCTGGTGCATCACCCTCCATAACAATTTCGCTCATTTTATTGTACATCCATTTACTAAATATCAGATATTCGAAACACAGTCTTTCTGAACTCTACAGAAGAATCCACAAAAGAAAACTAATTCAAAAAAATGTAGATGAACCATTCGATTCAGTAGTACAAAAATACACATTGAATTGTTCTACTAAAGATTTCACAAAACTTGATAAGTACAAGAATTTGCCTCTTAGTTCATCACATTCACTAGTTTGTGTTGAGATCTAAGAATCTTCGAGCTATTTGACTCGTTTATTGCGAGCGTACGGAAAAAGAATGCAAGTGCAGAGGAAGCAGGAATGGAGGAGGGAAAATACCGGGTGCACATGTAAAAGCTACGTGAAAAGGCTCATACAGTTGGATCTGTCCATGCCCTTTCACAACGCAAGGGAAGACGTCACTAACTGGAGGCAATGGTATTTGCGAGCAGTGCAATATCTGTTCTTGACACATCTCTGTGCGGACTCTGCTGTGGTGCGTTCGGTGATGTCCTCGCAAAGATTTAGGGGAACAGGCTACGGGAGAAATGTGTCTGAAGGTTGCAGACAATTTTAAAAATAGTGTTATTAGTGCAGACAAAAACCGTCCTCGACAATGTTGGTGTTTCTGCTACTGGAGTGAAAGATATATCTCCACATTCTTTCTGATGCTTCAGTACATGCAATACTACTTCTCGAGCCATAACTGAAGTATCATATAATATATATGCTATAGCTCGAAAAGGTAAAAACAATATATGGCCTCATGGCATTGTTTATGTTTAAAATTTCAACAGCCATTTCAGAATTTTTCGAATTACTTCATAACTAAATTTTCATTTCTATAAAAATACAAAATATTCTAAAAAAGTACCTAATGTATATCAAACTATTCAACACAAGCTAGCATTTAAAACTACCTAACAAAATGAATCTAAATAAATATTTAACATAACTAATTATTTAACAGCACTTAAATTATTGCTTAAAACATAACAAAATTAGTGTTGTTTTTTTTCTCCAAACAATCTATAACCGTTATTTAACCCCTTTAGGGGTGGAATATTGAAAAATCCATCGTTAGTGGATGCCTGCAGAATAAAAGAAATTCGACCAATTTTTTTTTTCAAGCCTCAGTAGTTCAGGCTTTGTTTATAAGATCAGTTGGTCAGTTATTAAGGACGTGACTTTATATATGAATACAGAGCTTAAAAAACTTCCCAATAAAATTGCATATGAAATTATTAACTAATATTAGAATTCCAGTTTTTAGAAGGAACTAGGTTTCAAAAGCATAAAAAAGATTGTTTTAAATTTTCTTCTTCTCAAAAGCAGTTTTAGACATCCATTATTTTTTGAGAAATAAGACTTTAGAAATATAATATTATCCCTATCATTATCGAGAAAGATTATTCTAGATTACAATATGAAAAAAATAAATATAAACAAAAAACTATTCATTCATAAATTACCTATGGTAAAAATCATTCCTTTCATCATATGCCCCTTTTCATCATTGTCTAAAAAAACAATAAGTAAATTTTACTATTAAAAATATAACAAAAGTTTCTAATATTTAGAAATGATTGGCAGAAGTTGTGAAAGTGTATGAGAAAAGCAGTTGTGAAGTTTGAAAGATCAAAACATTATTTTAACATAATATTCAAAGAACAATAAGAAATGCTTTAGAATAATTAATTTATTAATTAAGGATTTATTCCAGAAATATTTAGCTAAAAATTATCAACAAGAAAGGATAAAATACAATAAGCAATTAAATATTTTTAACTATTACTGTTAAAACAATTAATTAATCTTAATAAATATGAATGCTATTTATACATATTGAAGCTGTTACAGAATCATAACTTCTTTGATCTTTGCAGAAGCAAAGTGGGTCATTAAGTACCCAGATTCAATTTTTCATCAAAAATGTTTCAAAAGTTGTCCTTCCTAATATGTGTCAGAAACAGTTTTACTTATCGTTATGAGAAATATCATTACTGCTGAAAAAATATTTATAAGTGGATTTTTTTTTAACATGAGGTTTATAACAAACCAATTTGAATTTATGATAACTGCCTATTTTACTTTATTTACTATGCATAATGATATTTCTCTGAAGAATAAAAAATGAGGTTTACTAACACATATTAAGAAGGTCAACACAAAATTTTTTTTCCAGCTAATATCAATGGAAAGTAGAAGTTTACATAATATTACATACATGTTACATATTATTTTTACAAAGTTAAGTCTATTTTAGCAATATGCAGACAGCATATTTGCTGAGCTAACTTTCATTAGCATAGTCATGACTCTGACTTCACTCCCATTCAAGTTAATGATTTCTAGTCTGAAGGTCAATGGGTGAGTGCATCTATTTTAGTAATATGCAGACAGCATATTTGCTGAGCTAACTTTCATTAGCATAGTCATGACTCTGACTTCACTCCCATTCAAGTTAATGATTTCTAGTCTGAAGGTTGATGGGTGAGAGCATCATAATGATGCTGATGCATTATTTCAGATTGTACTGTGGGCCGAAAGAAAGAAAGAAAAGAAAATGGACGGAGAAATCGAATTTTAAATATACGACTTCTTTAAAATTTGAAATCTCAAGAACTAATCAACAGATTTCACTCCAACTTTGTATTTTGCCATGAAAATTTACATACTTTAAAATGATGTAAAAAATTTTATAACTTACAATTAAAAAAATTTTTTTTTGATTATTATTAAATTAAATGATAAAAAATAATAACCGAAATTTATTTTTTTGCATGGAATTATGTTTGGATAAATAAATGTTTTATAAAACTGTGCGCAAAATTTTTTCCATTCCCCCAGAAAGTTCTCAAAATATGGCGCAAAAAGTTAAATTAACATAAAGGGGTCCAAACTTTGGAGCAAACTATCGGGACCATATCTCTCATATTGCAGCTACCCCTTATACTTTGGGGGTCAGAAATCCGAAGCAATTGAGAAAAAAAAAAGATGTTTATTCAGAGAAAGTAGGTTTTTGCGTCTAATTTCGTAACTTAAAATATCGTCTACATGAATTAATTAGCATATTTAAAGTCAGACCCTTGAATCAATACGAAAGAGTTCTAGAAGGTAAAGATCCCATTAAAAGTTATTCCGGACGGTCCTTTTTTTTGGCGCACTGTACAACAATCTACAAATTAAACATAAAATGGATTTACAGATTTATAATTTTTTTTTAATTATCTATGCCTGTACAAGAGGTCTCAATGGTATAAATGTTTTGTGATTCATCATTATGTATTATTATTTTTTTTATAAATTAAGTGTATCTGAGGTTTATTTCATGGCTATTGCTGATTGTGTGGCTAATCTCTGTGCGTATGGAAATTTGCACATTTTTTCTTTTTTTGTGTGCAGGGATAGGTCTGCTATTGTTTTTAAGGTTTTACTGTATGATCAGGGAAGAAGGTTAACAAGATGATACTGGTGGGAGGAAGGTTGGTGCCAGGACTTTGTTATGCAAGTGAACGAGTCTTGGCCTGAAGTTCAGAAAAGAAGGAAATGTTTTTAGAAAGAGATGGATAATTTTTGCTTGAGACTGGATAAAGATGGGATGGACAAAGAGGGTAGTGAAGTGAAGAATAGTTGCAAGTCAGTTCCCAGTAATAAGCGTTGAAGTTTGACATTTAATTTGTTTAGTTATGTATATATATACAAGTATATAGTTTTGTGTATTAGCAAAAGTAAAATTAACATCAGAGAAATCTTTGGATAGTCTATAAAATCAAACCACATTATTTTAATATTTGAATTTAATCAAATTATAAAAATAAGAAATGATATTCTTTTCTTTTGCAATCAATCTCAGCAGCTTTTGTCCTTCTGTAAGTGCCAAATATATCATGCTTTATAAACATCTTCAAACGTAGACTTTTTCATCCTTGTAATTTTATATTGCCTTCGTCTTAGCCCCAAACAAAGTTTAAAATAGAATCATTACTTTTTATTATTATTTGATACAGTTACTGGGGCAAAACCATATTCAAGTACTATGTTGTTTTCATTTTTATCTTTCAACATTATCAATTCCATAATATGATTCTTTTGGATTTGTCAAATAGGTTTAAACTTCTGCTCTTAAAAATAATTGGATGATGGGTTAATCTGCATTCAGATTAACAGCTCTTAATTGTACTATTTTTTAAATACTATTTTGATTTACTCTATTTCACTATCAAAGTAGTGTTTATGAGTATTGCTTAAGTTATACTCATAAACACCACTATTAAATTAAAAGGCTTATTGTTGATACTGCACAAGAAATATATTGTGAAAATGTCAAAACAAGTCAATTTTTTTTACAAAATTTTTTTGTAAACTAATGAATATAAGTATAACATAAATGATGAAATTTAAGCTTAAGCATAAAATTTAGATGTAAAAATAATAAAAGCAAAAGAGTTAAATAAAGTATTTTCTCTTTACCATAATGTAGTATACTAGGAGGGCAGTGAAATTTAGAACCAATGCCATGGCCACAAAATGCAGGTATAACAGAACATCCACGGTCTCTGGCAAGTTTACTAAAAAAATTAAGATAAACCAGATTAACCAACATAAATAAATATAAAACTATTTAAAATTAATATTTGCACTTTAGCAATTCTGAAAGTTGTATATAAAAGTAGATGCAATTTGAGTAGTGCAAAAAGGAATATCTTTGGATATTTAAGAAAAAGAGAGTAGATAATTAGTTTTTTACTTTCTATTTTGCAATTGATTGTTATAAAATTAATGGTCACTTATAGTTAACAGATATAACCTCTTATTATTACAGTTTTAAAAAATACAATATTAAAAAATACAGCATTAAAAAATACAGTATTAAAAAAATATAGTATTAAAAAAATACAGTATTGAAAAAATACAGTATTGAAAAAATACAGAACAATATTATATTTGGAAAATTTAAAAAATTGGCTATTCCAATATTATTGATCCAATGTTTTTCGATTTTTTTTAATTATTGTAATTGCAGAGGGGATAGTCATAGGATAAAAATAACACAACTCAAGAGAACAAGGATATAAAAATTAAAAACAGTAATTTCCTTATTAGACACCTTGTTTCCTAGCAGTACCTAGGATACTTAGTTTTGGCCAGGAATAGTTGCTCCAACAAGAGTACTGCAAAGGAGGACATGGCAGCCATCCATTACAAATTAGCCTTGACATATAAAGCAATATGGATCAGAAGCTAGCTTGAATTTGTGTAAGTAAGCGGCAAGACAATTATGTTCTACAAAGAGCTGGAACTACAGCCAGTTGGGAATGCTATCTGGCTCGAGATCCTTCCACTTTTTGTTAGAATTTCTTACCATTAGTTGCTTGTTGAATTTAGTGAAGACTTTTCTTTTGAAAACTCATTTAAAAGTTAAAAAAGGGGGCAGGTCATTATTGACGTGTTGTATAGAGGTGCCCTCATTGGCCAAATCATTCTCCATTTCCGCAGTGGGAAATGATTCATTGCAGAGTGACAGATTTTCCTAGTCGTTGTAATTTAATAATTGAGATTTGACATTTTAATGTATCATCAGAAGAAAGACTGTCCTAAGATTTTATTCAGTAAAAAGTTGATAACGAGTCGGAAATATTGAAAACATTTGTCGCAAATTCGTCAAGAAAGCATACCAGTTGCTCCACAATGACACAGATCACAGTAATTTCACCGTCGTGGGCTGTTCGTTCAGTGCCCACAGGAATATAAAAGGTGAGGAGATTTCAAAACATCCCAGCTGGGAAATAGGATCCATTGGTAAAATTTCTCAACCAATGAGGTTCAGGGTAAAGGGTGTCCAATGTTTCCATAGAAAACAAGTGTGGGAGTTTCCATAGAAACAGCAGTGGGAGTATCCTTTTCTCTTGTCCAAGAATACAGATTTATATTTAGTTTGTAGGGGATTTGTAAGTTTTATTTGATTTTAAAGTGGGAAAGTTCCAATGTTTAGAATTAGTAAAGGACATTCTTTTTAGAATTAAAATAAAAAAAAAAACTGCTGCCATTGTGAATGTTTCACAAGAATATATTTTTGTCTATTTATTAAGTTACGTAACTATCCAATGTAAATAAACTTTTAATTTTTTTAAAACTAGTTTTGAATTTCTCATGAATATAAAATTAGTAGATATTTAAAATAATAAATTTTATTTGTTTAGCTAAGACTTGTTAACAAATCTTGTTAACAAATGTTATCAACATTAAACATTGATAAATAAAGCACTTTTAAGCAATTTATAATACACAAAAATTAAAAAGTCATGTTTCAGTAAGATAGAAACGAAATAGAAATTTCTGTGAAATGTTTTAGTGCTAAATGTGAGTTTTTGCAATCAACCTATATTTAGATTACTTTTTCAAAAAATGACTATTTTAATATTTTCAAAAAAAAAAAAAAAAAAAAAANGATTAATCATTGCTATTTTAATTACATCAAAACTACTAATTTTCTGTAAACACTTAATTTTTTGTTTTTTACTTTAATATTATTTTACAAATCTCAGTTCAATTCCAATTTTCAAAATTATTCTTACTGTCTATGTTCCATATTTTAGTTTGACTTTTTACTTTAAGTATAACAGAATAAAATGTTGCTTCATTTCTCGTACAAAGAAAAAAAATTCTAAAAATTATTTTACACTTTTTTTAAAAAAAAATTAGAAACCAAAATAAAGTGTTCAATTTGTGAAAAAAAAAAAGACAATTATTTAAAAATTAAATGGCACAAAAATGTTAGGTGTTAGAATTTTAGGTTAAAATAAACTTTTTCAGAATTAAAACCATGCTCTTGATTACAAATTTGATTTGTAATCAAACCTTTTGATTACAAATTAACTTTTTTTTCAAGCAGTAGTCAGTTACTGTATTATAAAGAAATTAGTAGATTTTTTTACTACTAAAGTTGCAATAACAATAAGAAGAAAAATTTTACACCACTGATATCAATTAAATAAAACAAATAACTATGACAATAATTATTTAATAATGATCAACCGACTAATTATTTTGACAAAATGGATGACTGGGATTACAATAATTTATTAACTTAAGATTAAATTCTTGTTTGTACAGAACAGAAATTACACAACAATTAATTTAAAAACAAATTTCTGATGACTATTTTGCCATCACCAATCATACTGAAAAATCAATCAATAATTTAGAAATAAATTACAATCATCCTAATTATTTCAACTATACAGAATAAGACAATTATTCAATAATGAATTTCAATTACCTGATTGTTTTACCAATCATACTGAATAACTGACCAGGACGACATATTTGAATAGCTTCGTCTAAGCATAACTTTGATGTTTCCACCAATTTTTTTCCGATTTCATCAACATTTCCAACACAATATGCTGCAGCACAGTCACCATGAAATCCATTATAAAACACCTATTCCCCAAATAGGCCTCATTAGATACATACTCACTAAAGTAAACTATAAAATTTATTTACAAATATAGGATGCAATGGCTATATTAGGTTTTAACACATGTGAATCTTAAAAATTTACATAAACCAATTTATTGCTTTAACATTTTAATTTTAATGATATCCATAGTTTGTGATAACTAATTAAAATAGCTGTTCAACATAAAAACAAAGATACATACTCAAAGTAAACTATAAAATTTAGTTACAAATATAGAATGAAATGTCTATATCAGGTTTTTAACATATGTGATTCATAAAAAGTTACATAAACCAAATTTAATGCTTTAGCAGAAAGAACGTTTTAATTTTAATGATATCCATAGTTTGTAATAACTAATTAAAATAGCTGTCCAAGATAAAAACAAATTAAATCCAAAGTTTCAGTCTCATTCTACAGAAATATAATATTTATATTAACACAATTCGGTCTGCAAATAATAAAACTAGCAACTTAAAAATTTCACAAGTTTTTTCTTTCATTATTTTTTGAAAATTTCTCCCAAAATAAAAATTATTTTTTGCATTTTAGGATTACCATTTTAAGGAAAATTTACAACTCAAGTGCGAAGTGTATGGTGCTATGTTAAAGAGTGACACAAGTAGAAATGATTTATATCATGAAAATAAAAATGGTTTCGCGATGCAAATTCGTGAAATAAATTTTTTAAGTATCCATTCAATTATACCAATTTTGGGCTTTAATCACCAATACTATTTTAAGGTAAACTTACGACTCAGTTGCAAAGTGCATGGCAAAATTTTAAAGAGTGACACGAGTAGAAAATATTTAGACCATAAAAACTTTAGTCTGATGGTGCAAATTCGTGAAATGAATTTTTTAAATGCTCATTTTATCATAGCAATTTTGTGTCTTTATTCACCAAAATAATAACACTTTTTGACAGCCATTTTACGAAAAGGTTACAAGTCAGATGTAAAATGATGACGTCGTTTTAAAAAGAGACACTAGCGATACATATTTATGAAATGAATTTTTTAAGTGTCTATTCTAAGGTGATAGTTAGTGATTTCAATAATATTTTCATTTGGTTTCAATTAAGCAAAAAATAAATAAAGAGACAATTATTTAACATACAAAATAAATAATTATTTACCAAATAAAATAATTAGATTACAAAAGTAATAACTAAAAACTGTAATGTCACTGATGACTTATTTTACATGTACTGTAACCATTTAATTTAAACCAATTGATTGCATCAGTGAAGAACATCAACAATAAAATACAAAAAAAAAAAAAAATGACTATAAAAGATTTTAATATACTCTAAACTTGGAAGAAACATATTAGCTAAGTTGGAGGAAACCTAGTCAGATTTAATAAAGTTCAATAATTCTTGAAGAGCAGATTTAGAAAAAGAAATAATAGGTTTATAAACAATAGAAAAAAAAAAGACCACAATGAAATTTGACAATTTAAACTTATAACAACTAAAAGTTTACTAAGTGTAAAGAAAAATTTCATACTAAATTCAGTTCTACATCAAAATTTTAATATCATTATCAGTTGAGAATAATAACAAGTGGTGCTTATCTGCAGGGAAAAAATAAACTTCTAATTATAATAATTATTGATCCTTTTTATATTTAGTTAATTGCATAAATTGGAACCTAATCTATATTATATAAAACGCTAATACGTATGTATCAATAAAACCGANTCAGATTTAATAAAGCTCAATAATTGTTGAAGAGTAGATTTAGAAAAAGAAATAATAGGTTTTTAAACAATAGAAAAAAAAGAGATCACAATGAAATTTGAGAATTTAAACTTATAACAACTAATAGTTTACTAAATGTAAAGAAAAATTTCATACTAAATTCAGTTCATCAAAAAATGTTAATATCATTATCAGTTGAGAATAATATCGGGTTGTTCAGAAAGTAATTTCGTTTTTCCGACAGAGGATTTATTTGTATTTTTTCGAACCCAACTTCACACTTAAGCCGCATTATCATTATATGTTTTGAGAGCTGGTATAGCAAGGCTTGTGTGTGAAAAATTTAAATTAATTCTACGCAGTAGTTGTTGGTTGGTGCCCTTTTAAATATGGATAGCAATAAACAGCATTTTCATAATATTTTACTTTTTTACTATAGAAAAGGTAAAAATGCTGTTCATGCCAGAAAGAAATTTACCGATGTGTATGAATAAGATGTGCTGACAGTACGCCACTTCCAGAATTGGTTTGCAAAATTTTTATCTGGCAATTTTAATGTCGAAGATGCACCACGTTCTGGGAGGCCGGTTGAAGCTGATAAAAGCATTAGTTGAGGCAAATCGGTGAATAACAACACGTGAGATCAGGGAGAGGTTACATTTATCAAATTCAACTGTTTATGACCACTTGGAAGGCTTGGGTTTAACCTCAAAGCTCGATATATGCGTTCCCCATGCTCACACGGAGAGAAATTTGTCTAGTAGCGTTGACGTCCGTGATTCACTTCTCAAATGTCACGAAAATGATCCATTTTTGAAGCGCATCATTACTAGGGACGAAAAATGGGTTGTCTATAACAATTTCAAACGCAAAAGATCATTGAGCAAAAAAGATGAACTGGCTCAAAGCATTTCGAAAGCCAATATCCATCAAAAAAAGGTGATGCTGCCTGTTTGGTGGGATTTTAAAGGAATAGTTTCTTTTTTAGCTTTTACCGGATAACACAACACTTAATTTGGAAGTCTACTGTTGTCAGCTGGACAAACTGATGATGCTCTTCAACAGAAAAGGCCAAAATTAATCAACAGAAAAGGTATAATGTTCTACCAAGATAATGCGAGATCTCAAACAAGTTTGGTCACTCACCAAAAGCTTTTACAGTTTGAATCGGATACACTGCCACACCTACCATATTCTCCAGATCTGGCGCCTTCGGATTATTATTTGCTCCAGTCACTACAAAATTTTTTTGACCGTAAAACCTTTACTTCAAATAAAGAGGTCAAAAAATACCTGGATCAGTTTTTTTGCCAGCAAAGACCAAACCGTGGAATCATGCTACTACCAGAAAGATGGCAAAAGGTGTTGAATCAGAATGGCCAATAAATAATTTAATAAAATATTTATTCATTATACGAAAATTGTCTTTCATTTCCCCACAAAAAAAAAAAACGAAATTACTTTCCAAACAACCCAATAACAAGTGGTGTTTATCTGCAGGCAAAAAATAAACTTCTCACTATAATAATTATTGATCCTTTTTATGTTTAGTTAATTGCACAAATTGGAACCTAATATGCTAATAATATAGGTACAGTGGCAATAAGTGTTTTACAGCTCCCTAAATGTCCAAGTACCCAATGAAATTATATTCCTTTTCTAACATTAATATAAAATTAAAAATGATCAAGGAAAATAATTTTGGCTATGAAAAAGGGTATATTAAGAGTTCAGCAAATACAGATACATAGAATGAAAGGATCAATATTATTGATACTTTGCAGTTTAATTAAATAATGAATCAACATTTTGCAAAAATCAAGTGAGACGACAATAAAACGAAAACAAGTATTCCTCTTTTTCAATAAAAATCATGAGCTTTACCTACACTGACATCCACACTGATAATGTCTCCATCCTTCAATCTTCTACTATCAGGTATGCCATGACAGGCAATATTATTGACAGATGTGCAAATTGACTTAGGAAACCCTCTGTAGTTTAAAGGTGATGGATATGCCCCATAATTAATGCAAGTCGAATGTGCAATTGAATCTAACTCATCAGTTGTTACACCAACCTTTTTAGAAATAAGATTTATTAAAATTACACAAAATTGCAACATTTTTCAAATTGCAATGACTAAAAAATATCTGAGTATTTCAAATTAAAAGATAGCACTGGTATACAAAGTTTAGCACAAATTTTAAATAGATATTTCCATAAAACAACAGACAAGCTATTTTATTTCCAGTTCCTTAACTAGCAGTTAATAAAACATAGATGGGTTTCATGACAAACTCCATGGGGACAAACTCCACGATTAGATACTCTGAAAAGAGGTATATAATCATATAGGGGGGGAAATGAATATTTTCTTTTTAAAAACAGTCCTAAATCAGTATTATGTAATGCAAATGGAAATTATTCTTAGTTAAAAAATTTATTGTTTCTATTAACAAAATATTCCTAATTTCTTTTTAGATGTAAAGAATATTTACATTTAAAGGTACTAACTAAAACTTTATAATTAAAGTTATTTGTAAATCATGATTCCTTCTTCCTAAAATATTTTTCTTGATTTAAATATATATTTCATATAAAATTTAATTTCAAAATAATAATAGTGATAGGTTAAAATGTTTAGTATTCTTAGCCAGTAACTGGATCTCCCTTTAGTTTAGATGCCTGGGGTAGTAGCCCCATTTGCCTCTCTCTGAACGCCACTGTTAACTAGACATGAAGCAAGTATAAAAAATAAAACATACAAATGATGAATTAATATCAAATGATCTAATTTAATAAGAAGTATGAAAATACAGGACCAAACATATTTAGTATTATTTTTAAATAATATTTTATATGAATTTTCACAAGGTTCAGGTAACCTTCAGCCCTTATAAACAGAAGCTCTGAAATCTAATATTTTTGGAAGGGGGTTTGCCAAATGAAATTTCAAATTTAACTGAATCATTAATAAGCAGGTAATTTTTAAGTTCTAATCAATGAGCTGTGATTATTTAATGAGTAAGGCATCCTTTTCCAAAACAAGTTATAAGTAAGGCATCCTTTTCCAAAACAAGTTATAAGTAAGGCATCCTTTAGGATGCATAATTTTCAATGCCAGCAGATTTATGCTGGCAAAATTATAACTAAACTTTATATCGAAAATACAGTATTTGTTTTCTATATTAATACCTTAAGGAGCAAGTATTCGGAGCAATTATGTCATTGGTCCTTGATACAGGTATTTGGACTTAATTAAAAACATTGTCCTAATTAAAGATCAAATATAGTCCTCTTGTTTTCAAATCCTTGATTTTAATTCATATTTTAAATATGGACCTGCTTTTGGCAAAAAGGAATCCAAAAATTCGGAAATCAAAGGACCCAGAGCATTTAAAGTACAGCAAAATCACTGAAAATTCACTTTCAAAATGAACTGTCTTTTAGGTTGGGTAGGTTTAAGCTATCTATACACAAAAAAGAACTACACATAAAATATAAAAATAGTAATAACATATTTAAACCTCTATATATCTTGCTACTTCATCCAAAACAATTTTGGCAAGAGAACATGATTTACGCATACATTCAACACTTTTGCAGTCCATTATCTTAATGTCTTCTTCAGATTCATGTTCAACACCTGAGTCTGCATAACTGGGCTTTTTGATGTAGTCAGGCACATTTCTTTTTGGTCCAACTTCGCAAGGACTTACGATGTCATAAGTTTTATTCCTAGTTCCAAACCAGGAGTTTTTGGCTTTTCGAGAATATTGCTTTTTATCTAACTTATTCAGTTGTCTCTGAGTTTTGAGTAAATATTTTGAACTTGAACTATAATTTGTAACACATTTGAAATAAAATGGCAACTTCAAAGAAATAAACAAATTTATCTGTTTTGGTGAATGAGAAGCATATTTTGCAAAAAATGACATGTTTTAACCCTTACATTACCTGAAAAAAAAACAGTAATAATTTATTAATAGTTCATAATGTTTTAAACTAATTCCAGTAAATCATTTATTTTAAAAGTATTTATCTAGTCATACAATAAAATTAGATACAAATTGATACTGTTTTTACTTTTATACAAGATAATTTTTATAATTTGATGACAGAGATATATTTTAAAATTTTAACTAAGCATTTAAAGAAATATAGTATATTTATAATAAGCATTTTACTGTTAAAATTAAGGTTATTTTAAGGTAATTCAATCAAAAAAAATGTATAAAACATTCTAAGTTATATATTTCTTGTTCTGATGTCTAATTTCTTTTATAACACTAGTTTAGAAACAACATAAACAAACATATAAATAGAACCAAAAGTTTAAAGTAATTATTAATTGTTTAAATTAGTTAATTTAGGAGTAGTTAAAGCACAACAAAGTTAAAAAGAACAATTAAAAATGTTTCAATAAAAAACTTTTTTCTTATTGTAAAATAATTATTTACATGGGGCTTTTCTGAAATTATACAATGAAACAAAATAATTTTTTTAAAATAATGATGCGCATCAATGATGCAGATCATTAAAAATCACTCAAATCGCTCCCCTCGAAGTAAAAACTTTAATTCATGTAAGGAAGTTCATAAAGTTAAAATATTAAAAAAAAAAAAAATCATCATATAAATAGATATTATTGAAAACTTTTCATTTTATAACTTCAAATGATCTTAAACCTAAAGACCCCCGATGCTACACCAGAATCAATATAATAAATAGAGCAATGAAATAATCGAGAACAATAAAACAAACAATTAATCTATAAAGTTTGAAAACATCAGCACTACATAGTTATGCAGAATGAATTTTTCCTTAATAAATTTCTCGTGAAAATTTTATTCGACGACACTTTTACCCCTCTTTGAAAGATGCAAGTAATTTGAAATAAATGAAAATATCATACGTTGATTCTGATTCAGCGCAAAAACTTCAAAAGGTTTTAGATAAACTAAAAAAAATTTTAATTTAAAAAAAACCGGAACGTTTCATACATAAAACTTTCAGAAGTCGGAAATTGATAAACAGATTGATTGACAAAATAATTTTCGCATTAAAATCATAAATTAGAAATATTTACCATATTCCAAAATATAATTTTATCTTGATTATTGGTTATTTTAAGATTAGTTTACTTTAAAGCTTTTGGCTGCTTATTTCTGTTTATTCTGAGATCCGTAAGGTCCGTTTGCCCAAAATACTATGTAGATGGCACTAGTAGATAGTAGATAAGTACTTTGCAACGAACTAGAGGTAGCTACCTTATTTACGTCGCACAAGAGCTGCACAATGGGCTATTAGCTATTAGCGACGGTCTGGGAGACATCCTTTATGATGATCCAAAGACTTGGCATCGCAATTTTGATCCTCTGCAGAGGGGATGGCTTCCCTGCTTTGGTAGCCCGACGAACCTGCACTAGAGCTGCACAATAGGCTATTATTTAAACTGGGAACATTCTTGAGGATGATCCGAAGATATGATACAGATATTTTGATCCTCCCCCCGCTTTGGTAGCCCGACGACCAGCACGCGAAGTCGAGCACTTTATGGTTGAACTGTTAACGAGAAACAACACCGCTCTCCCTTGGTCCTTACGCAGGTTGATCAAAGTGGTCACTTACCCGCTTACCGACCGAATCCCGTGAAAGAAAGATTTATATCTGGAACTGTAACTATTTTGTAACTAATATTAAAGGAAGTGGTAGCTTAGATAATAATGAATTAATATGCACAAAAATATATAAGGTCTGCCAGCTTTCTACGATTTTTGGAAAAATTTCTCCTACTGGTTGCTAAGTTTATTCTTCGATGTATTATTCTTCCTTTTAAAAATATTTTTGTCGCCCCTACTTGCAAAGGATTAGAAGTCTTATATAAGAAGCCACTTTGTACCAATTCTCTTGAGTTCAAACCTTTATATTCTTGGCAAAATTACCAGAAGTTTTGTAAGCTTTTTGTCTATCACTCAATAAAATATTTTTCAAGAAAGTGTAGTAATTGACAGCTCAGCTTTAATATATTATCATTCCCTCAATCCTTCACTTTCGATATCATCGCAAAGAAAAAAAAAAGGCTTTTGTTGACATTTATTGCAGGTAGATGGCTTTATTTCCAGAATTCAACTGAGTTGTTGTTACCTAGGTATTCTTTCAGGACAGATGGCATTTTTTATTAAAAAGGTAGTTAGTGATATTAACATGATTTCTTTATTCACATAGAGCCAAACATTTGTAGGCACCTTAAAATATTCATTATAATAACTTTTATACACGTACAGAAATTTGCGTGCATTTTTCTTTCTTAATTCAAAGTGGAAGCTAATATTCACTAATTTAAATGCAAACGTATAATTTCTTTTATAATGGTAAAATTTTTTACGTGACTCCAGTACTGAAATTCAGGCGCTCAATGAGTGAAATACAATCGGATTTAATTTATACTTTTTTAAGTTACGTAATTTGAATAAAAAATATTATAAATAATAACTTTTCATTTTTCATGAAAGTCGTTTATCAATGTGAATTTAGTTTTTATGAGTGCGAGCTTCAGCAATTTTACCCAATCTAGGTTCGTGAAACTGTAAAATTTAAAAGCAGTTGCATTATTGTAAGAAAAAATCGTTTAATGAATATGTTGCTGGATTACTCATGAAGACTATTGGAAGTATATTCTAAAAATTAAACACATAACTTTAAAAAACAAGGAAAAATATCAAATTAATAAACGATGACTATACGTTAGTTTTCTTTCTAAAAAATTATTGAAGATACGGATGTTCCTGAATTTCTCAGGTATAAATGATTGAAGAAAAGATAAACTCTGTCATTTATATTTTAATTCGTATGACGTATAATATGAAGTATTGTAATTTGGTGTCATAATCTCAAAATAGGGTGTTAATCGTAACCGTTTCGGAATATGCTTATTTTGACTCAAAAACGCACTTTTTTTCAAGAAATTTTTTATGAAAAAATCAAAAATTTAAAAAAAAAAATTCAAAAATTCTCTAATGTGAAAATGTAAAAGATTTTTATTTCAAAGTTTCGAAACTCTGTCATAATTTACTACGGAAGTTAAACAATATAACGGTTCAAAAATTTGTTACTCTATTTTTATTTTAATGTATCAGTTTTCTCTTTTCATGTCTTTTGAATAATTGGTTAAACTACAAAAATTCTTTCTCAAAAAATTATAAGCTGTCAACCCAAAGACAAATATGTAATTTAATGTTGAATTTGGATGAATTGAATAATTTTTATTAAATAATTTGTTAATGTTGAAAAAAAATTGAATTGTAAAGTATAAATTTTTTTTTATGAACGTTTTCTAAACATAGAATTTTCAGATTTTTGTTAACTTAAATTTTCATTTTCATGCCATTTAACTAAAAATAAAGTGGATAAAAATTAATTTAAAAAATAAATTCTTCAATGCTATTGAAATTACACCCCATTTTGAGATTACACTCCAATCCAAAAGTATCAAAAGTTCCAAAGAACCGAAAGTTTTCATTAGTAATCTAACAACAGATTCATTAAAACAGTTTTTTCCTAAAATAGTGCTATTACTTTCACATTTTACGGTATTATGAATCTAGATTAGGTAAAATTGTTGAAGCCCCTTAAGCTGCATAGTTGAAGGGTGCTGCTAATTTTTCTATAAAATTCTAGGGAATTTGTAATCAGCATTTTTTAGTGTTTTGAATCAAATGTTATTATTTATATTGAAGAAAACGGTGCATAAAAATTTAAATGCTTCTAAAACAAAAAATTTTTTTTAATAGCAATCAACTATCATTTTTTTTTTACTTAAAAAAAATGTTTCTCAGTGAAAAGTGTTAATAATATTTTTGGTTTTCGGACTATTCATGTGTTTTAAAAGAATTTTAGCCTTCTATATATATAAATTGATAAACATACAGATAACCTGATAATCATGTATCTATGTTTACAAATGTTTTTTAATATATATATTTATAAATTAAAAGTATAACTGCACTATGTGCAATATTCAGTTGTTTGAAAATATGTTTAATAATTTTAAGAGCAAATAAAAGACTGCTGTTGGTTTAAAAAAAAAATATTTGTAGCATAATAAAAGGTGCACTCATGAAGTTATTCCAGCTTTCACTTAGTCTTTGGAAATTAATTCATTTTAATAGCCTTGGTCATTATTAATAAAGAATTCGAATCAATCAAATTATAGTTTTTTTTCCTGTAAAAATAATTAACGAAGTGAAAAGATTCTTAGAATCTTATTAGACACCTGTTTCAAAACTTGAATTTCAATTTTCTTCGTGTCGAACACAGTCATTTTATTTTTCACTCTCGCTTGAAATAAATTAAAATAGCGATTTTCATGTTTATTTATCTACAGTTTTAAACTAAACTGTATAGAAATGTATTTTTACTGTCCTGTTTCAATATTCGAGACAGCAGAACAAGTTTAAAAGAAAATTCTGAAATAGAATAGAAATATTTATTGTTTCTTTTACTTTTGTATTAATCTTGCTTGTATCAAGGCATTTTAGAGCTTTGCCCACATCGTAACTTTCGCATTTTCTTTTCCTTTACCAAGTTGACCTATCGGGCGTTGAACAAAAGTGAATATTTGCCATAAGCCAATAACACTATTCAAATGTTTTTTAACATACTAGTTGTTCAACACTAAAAGACTTTAATTATAATTAATACAGACGTATACACATAATTACAGATACGTACTGATTAAAGATTTAGCTTTCAGTTTCGTTGTAAAAAAACAGTTCTAAAGTTGATTTTGCAAAAAGTTATTCTTATTGTAGGACTAAATTTGTATTAAACAGTTTGTAACTATTAAAATTTAATGTTCTTTGAGAATCACGTTTTTTCCTCTGAATTAAATAAAACTAAAATTTACATTTCAGATAAGTATTAAATCATTGTTTTTTAAATAAATAAATAGACGAAATTTACTTACCGCAAATTCTTAAAAATCTGTACTTATTTTAAAGGTATAAAAACTGGTAATTTAAGTATCTCATCTTTTACAATTTATTTCCGTTAGAAAAAGGAATCGTGTACCAAAATATATAGATAATATAAGTAGTTATACTTATTTTGAAATGACACAGGGTCCTTTCCTTTTTATGGCAGATTTTACTTTATTTCTGAAAAGGTTTCAAAGTGCATGAGTCACTATGTTTATCTTTGTTTCATGCAGTTGTTTTATAATAACTATGACCACTATAAAATATAAATCTCATGAAGAAAAATATCCTAACATCATTATTTAAAAATACTAATTACTTACATAACTTATCTGTTACTGGGATCCTATTAAAGGGATTTATATTTTATTTTATTTTTTTTACTGAAAAAAGAAGAGAGTGGTAGCAATTTTTTCTCTTAAAGTGTTATTTTCAAAGGAATTTATGAGTGTGTATGTATGTATATAAACCTACACGGTCTTTATAAATTTGTACGTTCAGAAAAAACTAAACTGAAATAAAATTAATTTGAAAGAAAAATATGCAACTTTCCAAATAAAACTAGTTTCAGATTTGAAATCACCACATCCGGATTAGGTTAGATCAAGTGTGTGTATAAATTGCAACAGAAAATTAGTTCCCCAGTGTTATTTACACGAATATAAATAATTTCATTACATTTAACATAGTTAACTAACATAAAACATGTCTTCCATTTGTATGAAGACATTTCATATCATGCAAAGCAGCATAGGAAAAAGTTTTTTTTTATTGTAAGACGTGAAAAAAGATTTAAAATGGAAAAAGGTAGTGGAAGCATGTAAAATAAAGTTTTGACGAAGCAAATGAATGCATAATTTCAGAGACGCTCGCCTCCCAATGGGGAAATTCAAATTCTAAAACAGTGCTGACGTAAAATATCCCCAGTGATAGACGGATCAATAGTTAAGAGTCATCTTGCTGTCGAGTTAACCATGGGAATGTTTCGTGGTTTTCTTCCCTATGTAACGTAAGCGTTGGTTAGTTCCCTAAAAAATCCTCCACGAAGGCTAGTTTCTCCGAATACTTAGTTGATCCAGGAGTTCCGTCGTCTTCTGGGTTGGGTTCAAAATAGCACAGCTATGGAATTGAACAATGATAGTTCTGAACTCAGCATTGGGATTACAGTTCGGAACTCGTTGGTAAAATAAAATAAAATATTTCCATATTAAGCATAAAATAGAAAATATAAATGCCAAATTTCCCTTCTCTTTAATATTTGGGACCACATACAACAGAAACATAAAAAATTATGAATGCAACATTTCCTTATTTAATTAAACTTAGAAGCAATTATTATATAAGAGTAAAATTTCCCTATAAGGGCAATATACAAAAAAGGTTATTTAAATAGAAAATGTAAATGTAAAGTTTCTATATACTATGGACAGCAATTTCATAGAAAACTTTTTAAACATGTTATAATTTTTTTTAATATAGACTACACAAGCATTGAAATATAATTAGTTCCTTTCAAATGTGTCAAAAATAATGCAAAATATTATAAACTAATTACTCAATTGGATTAATTTTTATCCAGCTTTAAGTTGAGAGGCCAGGAATAAAATTTTGCGTACCGAAACCGAACTTACAATAGGAAATGGTAATCTACTAGTAAGAAAATTAGAAGAATGACATAATTTTTGACGTCATTTTTTTCTGACCAATAAGAGAGTAAGGAATTTCAGCGCTCAATTCAGCTTTAAAATTCCGTTTCATTTGTTACGACGATTATTTTTTACTATGCAGTTGGTCTCTATCTGTCTTATAAAATTATGACCTTACTTACTGGAGATACAAAACAAAACGGATACTTTTTTTAAAAAGTTTAAAATTTTTCTTTTGCAAAATGAAGTTTATTTATTTAACATTTTAAAATTCTAAAAATTTAAATGATAAATTAAGCTCTCGTAATCCTTTTTTTTCTTATTATTATAATTTGAAATTCTTGATCAAATAAGCCCGTGTAAGTTTCATTTAAAGAATTTTATTCGTTGAAAAGTTCTCTTAATTGATATAATAGTCTGAAATGAAATTATTAATTATAGAAGCATTTCTTGTTATTTTATGCTTCATAAAAGTAGCAGAAAATGTGACAGCGATGGAATCCTTAAAAAATAGCTCTGAAAATTTACTAAAAAAGCCTATGGATTTAGAACATAGTGCTGTGCTGAAGTGGAAAAAATTTGATGCTATTTTAAAAGACATGTCATCTTTGTCGGTGAAAAAACTTTTTCCATATTTACTCCGTGCTAATGAAGGTGTTAATTTGTCTACAAGTTGCTCGCGTAGTGTATTTAAATTCTTAACAGGTGTAAAGCAAATGAAATTGTGGGCATTCAAAAGTAAGTATTTACATTGTTTTGCTATATATTTTGCAGTGCTTAAATGATTGATAGCATTGTATGTTTATTTAACATTATTTACATTTTGATTGATTAACCCTTTCCGTTGCCCTGCAATGTGTCCAGCCTGGCTAAACTTATTACAAAAACATTAAAAACCACTAAAAATGTAAAACAATTAGCTTCTTATCGCTTTGTAACTATTATTATATAAACGACATAGAATTCAAGTATAGAATTTAACTTAAAATTCATTAACTGCTGTCGCAGTTGCTAATATGCTACCTGTTTAAATTTTGAATGAAATATATATATATTCTGACACTCTAATTACAAGCAAAAGTGTACTTTGGTGTTCTTAATTTAAAATAAACAATCGAATACTTATAAATTAAAATATGTAAGATTAATGGAATTATATTTGTATTAAAATTTAAAAAAAAAAATAGTTTGAAATTATTTTCCCCACTCATATTCAAAAATTTATCAATAATTGATTCTGTAAGGGAAAGAAATTTCAGCTATGAATAAATGTTCCTCTAAGAACTTTTTCTTTCAATGCCCTCTGGATTGACGTTTCGTCAATTAAGGCGTATTACAGCTGATTTGTTGGCCACTCTTTCAGGGGCACCATATTAGGTGAGCCATAGTTGCTCCCACAGTAAGGACAGGTAGAACAGCGAAAGAAAGAACACCCATGCCTTGTCCGGGATTTGAACCCAGAACCATTCTGATGCAAGGCTAGTTCCCTGATTCCTAAACAGTCCGCTCGGCATCCCTTAGATCTAAATAATTGCAAATTTAATTTGAAAAATTATTGTTCGGATATAAGCCGTGTTTGGAAGATTTTACCTTTAACGCAGAAAAAGACACAGTTGTTTCATGCTGTATTCCATAATCATAAATTATTAAAATGTTAAATATAATATTTTTCACTTATTTTGAAATAAATTAGTACAAAGTAATGAAAAAAGTAGAAAAAATATGTGTACTAAAAATTCTGCATCAAAGGGTTAAAACAGGGTGCTTATAGCTAACGAAAATCTCATAAAAATTCTCTCTTAGTGAACATAATAACTACCATATTTAAAAAAAAAACAACAACAAAAAAAACAGATTAATACTATATCATTATATCTGAGAATAGATTCATGTTAGCTAGCATAGAAGAATCTAGGTTAAAAGTAATTTAGCACTAGGTTTACGGGACGCGTCATTTTGACGCATTTCGAATTTTATAAGGAAAATTACAAAACCAGTTTGCATTTTTATTTTATCTCCTGTAATGACTTTTATCCATTGATCGGGGTAAATATATATTGAAGTCTATTTTCTTCAAAAGCGTTGAAATATTGAAAATCTCTTTGTGGTATACCTATCTCTAGGGATATGCGTCAATTTGATGCTATCGTAATTTATTCAAAATTTTGAGTAAACTTGCAAACATCACATCAATAATAAATAGGAATGTACCGACAATACTTCTATCCGTTATCGTTATCTCAAATGAAACAAGCGATAAACAACTGTTGCCGATAAGCAATAATAGAAAGAACAAACGCAGAATGTCAATTGATGTCAGATTTTGAACATTTCAGTTGCTTAGCTCTAGTATTGCAAAATAAAATACTAGAATATTTCATAAATATATATCTCATATTTTCATTTTTTTTCTTATAGTATATAATTACAATGCTTTCTAAGTGCAGAAATGCCAACTGCTCCGGACAAGCCGGAATAATTAAAAAAACGGTAAATAACTACTAAGTAAATTTTGCAAAGTAAAGTGGTGAATTATATAAGCCTACGAATTATTTCGAAATAATGATGGATGAAAATCTACTAAATTGAATTTATTAAACCAAGAATCACAATTGATAAACTACCACTTTAAAATATATATTTGCTGTCCGGAGCAAGTTGGCATCTCTGTAAGTGCTGTTACATGTGTTAGTTCATGCGTCAAATTGACGCGTGTTCGTAGAGATAGGTATATAAGAAGCTTCCGTAAACCTAGTGTTAAAAATGATTAAACGAAAGTCTTTTAATTTGAATTAAAAATTCAAATGTCATGAAATCCTGATTCTGATTAAGATTGATTCGTATAATTTTTTCTTAAGAGTGGAAGCAAAACATATAACTGTTTTTTTTTTGTCAATTGAATAATTTTTTTTTTACTAATGTACGAAAAACAATAAAGAAGAAAATGCTATAAAAAATTAAATAGATTTTTTGAAGCCGACAACATTCTGAATCTAGCCCCCACTCTTAATGAATTTCTCTTTAGTCCTGATACCAAGATGCCAATTTACTCCTGACAGCATATAAATATTTTCTGGTGGTAGTCTCTAAAGATATCATTCTTGGTTTAGTAAATAAGATTTATCTGGTTTTGAATAACCACTACTACTAAATAATTCAAGGGCTCATACGATATGAAACTTTTTTTTTCATCGAGCTTTTTAAAAAGTTGGCAAAATTAACCGAAAATTTTCAACTTTTAGTTTGTAGTTTTCTACCACTTTTTAAAACATTTTAAAGAATCCGGAGCAGTTGGCATCTCTGCTGATATATTTTCACTAAGCAGGGTCTGGAAATTTCTTTTAAAGTCGTAGCTAAACTTGGAAAAATATACATACTTTGAAGCATCGTGGATAACGGGGCTCTATGTTTTTAGTTTAAGTACACAGCATTTTTTTCTTCTTTTAATTATGTTAGAAAAAATTAGTTTGTAAAGGAAGGTTGTGTTTGGAGGGAGCCCTGCAGTTTGTAAAAGAATTTTCTAAGTTCCTGAAATCAAATTTTATGAATACAGATTTATAAAATAAATATGTCTATTATTTTCAAGAAAATTTTTCATTATAGAAAAGGTAATTAGCGATTTGAATGAGATATTACATGAACGTTTATAACTTCAGCTGAAAGGAAAGAATCTGCAATTAAGTCTATGTAATTGGTCAATGCAAACCGGTATTGAGGTCAACATTAAGTCTTTTGATTGTGTTGAGCGGAAAATAATTTCGATAGCCTAAGTAATTATGTTTTTAAGCCCAATAGTATGCAATTAATAGCTGCAGTGATTATTTGATTTTTTAAATATTTTCCTCAGCACAGAAACTGTGTTTATTTAAGCCTAAGTAGTATTTAATTAGCTCTAAAAATAATTAAACGAGATAAGAAAAAAATTAATAGGTTTCACTTTCTTTCAGTTGTAAGCTGTTCATTTAACTATTAGAAAAGGTGACTAAGAAGTTAAAAATCTCAACTTATATTATTTTTATTCGTTATTTAAATACATTATTATTAAATATAAAGCTATCATTTATGAATACTTAAATACTTATTCATAAAATATTTTCCTCTAGAAAGTTCATAATTCAAAGTTTTGAGTCTGAAAAAAGGGCACAAGGTATTCAACATCAATTTTTTAAATGGGCCTAAAATTCCAATGATTCGGAGTGTAACAATATGTGTCATACATCCGCTTTGTGGAGTGATTCTTAAATATCGTTATAAACTAAACTGCGGTAGGTGCTATTTAGATATAAATTGGTGAAGCAAGGAATTGGTTATTAAAGAAGTGGCCCACTTTTTGTCCTGATTAAAAAAGAAATGTGTTAATAAAAGTTGGAGTAACTTTGAAGATAATAAATATGAGGCTCTTTTAAAATACTTAAACATAGTTTTACATCATTTTCATAACATATCTATTACATCACTACCATATGATCCGTCATCTCATATCAATAAATATAACAAAATTGGTTTTGATTTGATATACTTTAGAATAACTTTTTATAGTTGTCAGATTGATCGAGAATATTTCCATTACTTCAATTCTAAATTTAAAAACATCAGTTTCCGTGTTTCACAGAACAGAAAAATCTCGAAAGAAAAATTTTAATTTTTAATGGCGAACTCGCTTTTAAACTTCTTGTAACGAAATTTACTTTTAGAAAAAAAGTTTTTTACACATAAACTGTTGTGGAAATGAATTAATGAAAAAAAAAAAAGCCAGATTCTGAAAGAGTCATTATGAGGCTTAAAATGCTGTGCTAACTTCACCATAAAAATACAGGTAAAACCCATTAACTCCTGCCGATGTCGAACTATTCCATAAAACATATTATACAAGTTAGAGATCCCACTGCGAGGTTGTTGAAACAAGGCCGAAAGACATCTTAAAATTCAATTTATTGTTTCATTTTAAACGGAAGTGGAAGAGTAAATATGAAATCGAGTAACCTTCATCGTAATAAATAGAGGTATTTGTGTTCAACCATATGACATGTTAGGAAACAAAAGACATAGTTGTTGGACTATATTGCGAGATTCCTGCGGCATCTTTACTTTTCACATGGAATCACATGAAATGAAGATTTTAACTGAAAACGATTAAATGATTATTCAGAAATAGAAAAAACCGTTTACTATGCGTACGTGCGAGTTATTTTTAAGGCTAAATATCTTAACGCACATTTATCATTAATCATACCGACGCAGGAGGGTGTAATTCATGGTTCAAAGGTTTAATGGTCTTACCTTAAGAATTATTTTTTTTAGGTTAGAATTTTTTTATCTTGTATACATTACCGTCAAGGGCATACTGTACAGTGACTAGTCGTTGTATAGAATAGCTACGCATTCTGTACAGTGACTAAAAGTATATAAACTATCATATTTCATTCTGTGTTTAAAAATGCCATGCTTTCTGTTAGACCTGAAAATTTAAATTTTCTGTCAGTTGCCAGTGGCCGGTAAACTTCAATAACTTAGTAGCCACTTTTTCCTCAAACCTAATGAGTCAGTGACCGATACCGATTGGACCTTTCCATTTAATAGATCCCTTTTTTCAAACTTTTTATTAACTGGATTTAATAGTATTTCTTTCCTTTTTTAAAAAAAAAATCATAATGGAAATAATCTACAGCTATAAAAATTAATTCAGCAATAATAATAACATAAATATGTGGTAAAATTTGGTTAAACATGTAGACTTTTAAGAATTTTATTTAAAAATATTTTTGTAGGCAAAATACATTTAATGTAATTAAAACTTTGAAATATGCAACCTGTTAAAGAACTTTCCCTCCGCATGAATCTTTCCAACACAAATTGATGGATTCTGAGGAATCAAAATTTTGAATAGAAACATTAGATATTTTAATGAGAATTCTGTTTTTCAGAGTTTTACAGCATTGATGTACTTTTATTGTTAAATATTAACTATTGAAAAAATGTGAAAACTTGGCCAGTTGCCTAATTGGTTCAGGTCACCATATTTGTATTTGTTCATTTGCCGTGTAACGAGAGATTATTTTCTACTTTTTATACAATGATTAGACACTCTATACAATGTCTAGTTAGACATTCTATGTAATGACATTCTATATTCTATATATTTTATGCATGGACATTAACACATTCACTACTACTTGAAAAAAAAATTAAAAGAAAAAGGATTGAAATAAAAAGAAAAAAATTTGAAAAATTATTCCTTCTTTAAATATCTATTATAATCCCTTTGGTTGTATATCCCAGCGGTTCCTAAATTTTTCTTTCCAGCCAATATCTTTTACTTAACTTAGATTTAGCATTTGTTTATATATTTCTAGTAACCATTATATATTTTTGTTTTATGTACTAGGCAACTTCAATGCATAATTAATTATTATTTATGTTTCACATGGTTTCGTGCATGTCTTTGTGTTAAGTGAGAAACATATAGTGAAAGAATTGTTTTCCTTGTGAAAGAATCCTTGTGCAAGAATATAGAATGTGTTACTTAAGAGAATTGAGACTTGACGGGTTTGGCTTACTTGATATAGAGTTGAAAGAACAGTTGCTAACGTAAGCAAATGCCACGTTTCAAAAACCAATCAGGATCGAGATGTCCGCACTACGTCACTTTTAGGTATCCTATCGTCTACAGTTTAATTTGTATAAATGATTAATGCTAAACTTATGAAAAAATAATCTTTTAAACATCCCTCTCGAATGTACTAATTGAAATTTTTCGATTTTTGAGAATGGGGGCTAAGAGTTGAGAAAGAGAGAGAAAGAAAGAGAGAGAAAGAAAGAGAGAGAGAGAGAGTGTGTGTAAATTTTTTTATTTGCTTTTATTATCGTTGTAATAATTAATTAATTTTTATATTACAAATTTATTTTGGCAATTCTTTTCGATATTAATATATTATTTTTGCATATGTTTCAGTGTTAGACGCTTCGGGAAAGCTCCCCAATGGTATATTGAGTGGATCCATCAATTCACTGGGTGAATATGATGAGTGTATTGATGTCAATGTTACAGGACATTTCCAAGGACAGTATTGTACAGTCTATGTCCAACCTCCGCTACCCGAAAGACTCCGTTTCGTTTCAGCAGATTCAGAAATCACAGAATTCATGAACATCACTGATCGAAATACGGTGAGAATGTGTTATACTTTCGACTTTAACACTAGAAAATCTGAAACTTAGTATATACCTATATTGCCCGAAAGCAGTCAAAATGACTGGATTGTAAAAGCGTATAGAAATTTGTTTAAAATTAATTTTTAATATTTTTTATATTATTTACAGTTACATAACAAGTTATTAGTAAATATTAACAATAAAAAAATTTATATGCTGTACAAAAAGTCACAAAATTCTAAGAAATTGTGTCATCATTGTTTTTTCTAATTGAAATTAAAACGCAGTCAAAATGACTTCCTTAAGCAATCTAGTGTTAATAGTTGCTTTTTCACAACTTTCAAAATTTTTTCGAGAGAAATTATTGTTTTTTGATTATTCCTATTCATTATCGGTTTATATATGCACTAAAATGCCATAATGAAATATATATCACGTTAGAATATCAGACTTCTACAGACGCATGAAATTTTCTAGGTCTTAGTGGTGATCTCGAAAAATTTAATCATTAAATTTTAAGAACAAAGATTATATTTTATAACATAAATTTTGGAGGACCTTTAAGAACCCTGACTATAATTCATAAAAGGAAATCACAAAATAAAATGTATCAATGAAAATGAAATAAATTATGCTATTCACAATTAATAAAAACTTTCATTTCTATATTCTTTGATTGTTAATAACAAATGGTAGTCAAGACTTGTCTTCTGTTCTCAAATTATAGGCAAAAATAAACTTTTTTGGCTACAAGTCTTCGATCTTTTCCGTATATGTAGCAGATCTGTGAATAACATGGAGTTATTTTGTATTTGTTTAGGTTACGGGAGAGCTGTTACGCCGAGCAAGGTACTATTATCATTTAAAATTTCGTACGAGCGTGTGCGTTCCATCATCATGCAGTCGAGATGAGGTAGAGAAGATTGCAAATAAAGGTATTTTCATTTATTTAGTTAAGCAATAATTTCAAACATAAAAATAAAATTTCGCGGTAAATCCCAAAAAATTCGGCTAAATGATAAAAGAAATGAGACATTCTTCCGATATTTAATTTATTTGTGATAGCGACTATTTACTTGATTAAATAACTGTATTGGCTTCACCAGATGAAAGTAAAAGTCAACAACAAGTTTCAAGCACTCATAAAATATGTGCCCATTCTCAAAACCTGCCAGACGTTAATGAGAAGAAACAGAAGTGATTAAAAGCTAAGTTTTTAAGAAAAATGGAAAATATAAGTGTAAAAGAACTAGAAAAACAGCAGTAGTCGAGATTGATACTAATTAAAAAAATAAATAAAATAAATATGAATGAAAGCATAACAAAAAAAGAAGAAAAGAAAAACATTGTGGCTGTGAATAGGGTAACTAATTAGGGTAAAATACATTTCCTCGCTGTATGGAGAGATAGTGAGGAACTGTGTTGTTAACTAGGATCAGTAGTCATAGGAATGAAACAAGTTTCCAGTGCACCCAAATAAGCTGATGTGACTGGTGTGGAAATAGTTATGCCATTGTTGAATTTGAATTTATGCCTAAAATTCGAACAATGTGCAAGATTCCAATAATGTGGTAAATGACCCAGCGATTTTCTATACTGATATTTCATTTCGATCTGCGTATTTTTGAAGTTAACGAAGTCTTTTATTCGATTAATATCTTACAGCTTCAGTTTCTTAACACTATTTATTAAACGACTATCTGTTATTCAGTAAAAAAAAACATAACTGTATGAGAATCGTGTCTGATAAGATTGATAAACGTTAAAGTATTATCTCAGAAGAGAATACTTTAGATAGCATTAACGTGACGTATTAGATTTTTCCTAAGCCCATAGGAACCTAAGTCACGAGTTAACTCAATGTCATGAAATTTACGTTGCATGGCATTGAATTAACATCGAAATTCGTATTATATTAAATTGAATTGACAAACAAAAATTTTAAAACATTACATGCTATCACATAGAATCAAGATTACATTTTGTTATGTTATTAGCTTTTTGAGTTAACTGGCTCTTTGCAAACAACCGCTGTCCTTCTGTAATGTGCTCGATGAACTGGAAAAGTTATCTAATACAAATTAACTTGATTATATGTAATTAAATTAATGAGACCAAAGTATTTTTTATTCTATTCACGGTGACATTATTAAGCTTATCGCGCTGAGTCTATAAATATTTAAAAACTAATGAGAACATTTCACTGCTCAACTTGCGTGATTTAGTTTAAGCATTTTACAATATTGCTGTGCAATTGAAAAATCAACGTGAGGGACAGAAAATTTAAAATTGAGATTTTTACATATTTGGCATCTTTGTATGGTAAACTACAAATTGCAAATTTTTTTTTCAACAAAAAGTTTTTTTTAATCAATTTTTTGAAATTCTATTTCAGTGGTCATAGCATTGTCAATGGAAAAAAAATAGTTGACAAGCCACTTTTCTCGCAATCAATCGCAAAGCACGTAGTTTTTTCAATTGCACGGCAGAATAAGTCTGGAATAGTGAAGGATTTTTGTGAATAGTCTCAGTAAGGCTTTATTGATATAAATCTAAGCACTTACAGTTATCAGAACAAAATATCAAGACCGTTCGTAAAACGATAGAATTTTCAACTACTCTATGGCACATACACTATTTACAAGATGAAATTGGTTAAATTATAAGGAAAAAATGGTAAAGATAGATTTGATGAAAGACGTATCAACACGTTAATTATTATTAGCATGTTTTGGTCCAATTTACAACACATTGTTACGGTGCTTGTCACACCTTTGAATCTTGAATTCTAGAGCTGAATTGTAACTTATAATTTGGTAGAAATAGATTTGATGCAAGACATCGCAAAGTTAATTATTATTAGCACATTATGGTCCAATTTACTGCTCATTGTTTTGGTGCTTGTCACACCTCTGAATTCATTCACTGAATCGATGTTCAATTACCTCGCAAAAAACTACTTAATATTCGCTTTTAATACTTAAAATAAAATTTTCTTGTGACTTCGAAAGTTTTTTTTTATCGAATTCCAAATCAAATTTGATAAAAAATAATTTTACTCCATGGCTGTAAATACGAGATAGATAAAACCTTACTTAAGATTATCAATATCTAGATTACTACATGCAAACTTTTACATATTAAAATATTATATAATACATTTTAGTGATGGAAGCAATTGGCGTTGAGTTTAATATTACCATACCGAATTGTGAAATCAAGGAAAAACAAATAGTTCTCAGCGTAAGCCAGATTGTGGTTATGTAAGTAATATAATTTTATATAATTTAATTTTTATATTAATGTTTTTATAAAAAACAAAAATTAAATGTAAATTTAATGTTTTTATATTAAATTTAATTTTTACAAAACATGTTTTTACAAAAACAGTGCTATAAAATATAAATTAAATAAGAGCCTTCCGCCCCTTGCTCGCTATTATTTTTCCAACACAGGAACGACATTCGCTGTTCTTTTTGGATCACTACGAAGTCCTAACTCGCTGTATTTCTTCATCTAGATACAAAAATATAGCACTATATAAGTATAGTACGTATTTTTGTTTAAGACATATTCTTGTACGCAGACCGAAACTTAAATTTCGATATACATATTTCGACTTATATTTGTATTACAAATTAGTCCTTAGATATTGTAAGCAGCAATCACATAATAGTTAATGAAATATTAATAATTCAATTGGGTATAATATGAAAAAAGCACAACTACTTCCACTTACTAGGAATAACATTTACCTTTTAGTTTAATTAATAAACTGAGTTTTAAATATGCTTACTAACTTCATAAACTTCGGTAAAACAACAATATAAATTATTTCCAAAGGAACTAGATTAATATAATTCCAACCTGGCGAGTAGTGACTTATAAACAAGACACTTCGTTTGATGCTTTTACTTGTTGCTAGAAATCAGGTTCGCAGAAAATGCTGTTTACTAGTTAAATTTAGTAGGAATAACACGATCTGTGACGTAGGCTATAGTATACCCAATTTTATATAAAAATATACCAAACTTAGCAAGGAGAAAAAAAGCACAGTTCTCTTTGATCGCTTTTCAAGATGAATGTAGATCAAGAAAATATACCTAAATGACAAATAGCATCATGCTGATGTTAACCATTTACAAATAACAACCCAGTACGTACCAGAAATTAAAATTTAGGACTATATCTGAATTGAATTCCTTTATATTTGTTTGATAAATTATTAAATGAAAATTGACAATTTAGCCCTGAAAATTGATACTAGTGATCTGACTCTTTTTTTTTTCTAACGTTATGTGTTCACATTTTTTAATTCGTAATGACAATAATTTTCATTTATGTCTCTATTTTTAATCTCAAACATTAAAAGTATAAATTTCGAAATAGTTTCTGTTTGTGACAAAAAGGGTGTCTAGTTTATTTCTTTCCTTAATACGCATATTTCTATCACCTGAAGTTCTATTGGTTGTTGTTTGAATGAAAAGGAAAGATAATAGTTCAACATTAAATTATTTTATAACCGTCGTTGAATAGCCGACCCAATTTTTGGGTTTACGACTGCTACTGTTCAATTCCGTTGCCTTGTAATTTTGAACTCAATCTAGAAGACAAGGAAACTCCTGGATCATTACCCCATGAGGTTTGATTTGTTATGTGAACATGGAAGACTTTGTGATCTTGCTGATTCAACGTGCATTAGTCACCTTTTACTACACAGAGAGTCTTCGGCAGGCGGAGATAGAACTCACGACCTCTTGGACATGGGCCCACTGACCTACCAACCAGGCTATCCCGGCCCTCAAGATTAAATTAGAAAAATTTTCAAATTGGGTACTTGCACTTCATGAAGAAGAAGGTCACGGAAGGTGATGTGACTTATGGCATCAGCGCCAGCTGATCGTTTATATGCAAAATGGCATGTTAAATATGAGCTAAGTTTTCCAACATAAATTAAAATATTAATTAACGTAAAATAAATTAAATGCAGCACCGTGTTGCGCAACGAATTTGTTGAAATATAATTCTTTCTGATCCATGTCTTTTCCTTAATTTAGATTTATTATTTGTTTATGTATTTTATTGCAAACGTGTATATTTTTGTTTTGTGTACCTGGCAACTACGATGCATAATTAGTTTGCTTATATTCTACATGGCTTCATGCCCGTCCTTGTGTTAAGTAAGAAATATATGAGGCAAGAATTGAAATCTTTGTGAAAGAATGTAGACTGTGTCACTTATGAGAATTGGATATTTGGCGGGCTTGGATTACACGAAATGGAATGGAATGAAAAGTTGCTAATGTAAACAATTGTTGCATTTCAAAAACCAATCAGGATCGAGATACTCACACTACATCACTTGCAGGTATCCCATTATACTTTGTGACCTGATGACTGAGTTTTATTTTTTTTTAATTATTGTAGAGTAACATACTATTTATATTCTATGGGTTAGTTATTTTTTCTAAGGCATTGGAGTTGCCAACGGTAGTAAACAAATTTAGCTTCTTTTCCACGATTGCGTGGTCCTGTTTCATAAGTAGGTTATTTCAACAAAGCACTGAATATAACTTATCCTCTTGGTATATGGTAGGGAAATTGTTTTTATTGAACACAATGAAATACATTCGTTTCCACTGGAGTAATTTAATTAATAAACGGCATTACCTAACTGTGACTCAAAAACTAAATATATCGCTATTCAAAGAAAATGTTGCAAAATGTTCCTAAACTTTTGAACCGTGTTGTCGTGTTTCATTTTCAAATGTTTGTTGCAAGTCAACTATTCGTAGCATTTAACCCTTTCCGGTTTAGCCTGTTTGGCAACACTTATTCAACCACTAGAGCCACTAGAAATATAAAAATAATTGCTTTCGAACGTTTTGAATTTTGAGCCCTATACTAATGAGCTAAAGCATGTCGCTTCACTTAGAATGTACTGTTTAAGGTCTCACATGCGAATGTTCTGCCTGACTAAAATTTTTAATCGAAATTTACAGTTTTGGAAAAAGTTAATCTTAGTTTAACCTTGATCGGCACCCATAGGGGGCAATCCAGGGAATACTGGTAATCTGAAGTGCATGCACGTAACTAGATCAGTTTGAGAGAAAAGGGACACCAAAGGGAGGCTATATCACGATAGATGGTACAACTTTCGGTCGATGGACTGACCTGTGATTTGGTCCAGGTTAAATCCTGAAGATATGGTGCACAATATAAAAATGATAAATATAAAAAGGTAACGAAAGTTACATATAGATTTAGTGTGCTCAGAGCAGCAACTGTTATCCATTGCCACACCCCCTGAAAAGGTTAAGGGGATACTCAATGGTATTACATTAAAGGCTTGGAAAAATGATGTCACATGTATGGAGTAATCATCAGCATTTTATAACACAACCACGTTTTACAAACTGGGGGATTTTGTGTTCTAAAAAATAGTTTGATTTAAAAATTCGTCTCATAAAAAAGGGTGGTTTATACTTAGTGTGGCTTATATAAAGTGTGGCTTGCTATATTACCTCAAGCCCACTTTTATAAAAAAAATATTGAGATATAAATATTTTTGAAGTTAAAGAACATTTATGTTATAGAATTTTTGTTTCGATCTAAAATGTAATTTTTTTCCAGTGTAATTTTATCAGTTTTACTCCTTTTTGGAATAAGTGCAACAGCAATCGATACCACGATTATTCTTCGGAAAAGCAAGGATGCTGAAAAGAAACTAAGTAAGTTAGAACTATTTTAATGGAAGAAAGGTAAGTTTAAATTGTTAATCTTCAATGCAATATTTAACAATTTGTCATGCTGGAAAAAAAACTCCCTTACAAAACTTATTCTTTGATTTCTTTCAACCCCTTTTATCCTTTCAATTATTCTTTGCCTTATACATATACATTTACTTGTAAGATTTCCTTCAAGTAAAAAGTGATCTAAGGTACCTGTATAAGATTTATGCTCATGTTTCATGCAAATGTAATCTTTAATTTTTTTTGTACTAATATATGAGCTTGTAAAGTTATTTTAAAGGCATACAATCATATTATGCTGTATCAAATTCAATCACGAAGGTCTAACAGAAGTTAAGTGCATTTTTCAGAAACATTAATTTATTTTCTTCTTTTATTTATAAAATTTTATGTATAGGAAATAAATCCCTATTTAATCTGAATTGACTGAAAACATGCATTCCAAGTTTATATTTTTGTTCAGTACTGTTATTTATATTTTACAAACCAAACGTAATCGATATTTTCTTATATTTTAGGTTTCTTCTTAAAATGCATACAGTGCTTTTCTTTTTATTCTAATACTGTCCGTTTGCTTAAAAAAGATGATTCGCCAGATACGATTAAAATATTTCATGGAATGAAAGTCGTCACATTACTGTGGGTTATCTTGAATCATACCTACTACTATATCAATTTTCAGGCAGGAAGTGAGTATTTTTATTTCATCACAATATTACGCGTAATTTCAAATCTTACGTATAACCTTCTCGATTTTCATTCATGGAAATAGTATTTTATGTCATCACAAAGCCCAAATGTTATTTCATATTATACTTATAATTATTTCAATTTTAAAGCTGAATTTGCTTTTAGGTCACTACAATACTGTGGTTGACCGTAAATCAAGCATATTGCTCTCTCAATTTTCGAACATGCAGTGATTGTTTTATGTCTCCAAAGTGATTTTAAATCACACTTTATATACTATCTTAAATTACAGAAACGAAGCGTGTATGTTCATATCATTATAATACTATGATGAGTGATTTTTAACCGTATTTATTACTTCATCAATTTTCAGGCTTGCAGTGGGGATTTTTGGTATTTTTTAAAATTTTTTTTTAGTAATTATAAGATTTTTTGAAAAAAGTACATAGCGCCATTTTTATTGCTTACTGTTAAAAAATTCTGATTTTATTATATTCTACCTATACGGCAAAGCGGAAAAAAAGGAAACTAAAGTGTTGGACACGATATCAAGTTGTCCTTAGTTGTTCCTGACATTTTAAAAGATAAAACGTGTGAAGATGAATCTTAGCTTTTTCTGTAACAAGCCACTTGATAGAGTAATATATCGTTTAGAACTAATTAAGGTGTTACGATTGTATTGTAAGAGGGTAGGTAGATAGATAGAGGGATTGTAAGAAGGGGTGAAGAATTAGAATTCCTGACTACAATTGTGCTGTGCATTCGGATTGGTTACCAAGCTGTTCGCCAAAGGCAGCTGGTCATACTTAAAAGTTAAAGGCTTTAATAGAGTTGCAGTTTCAATTGAGTAAAAAAAAAATGTTTTTTGTATTACTTTTGTATACTTTGTATTATTCATTTCAGTAATTTATACTTTTCAGGTTCTCTTTTAGTTGCTAGAGAAAAGGGAAAAGAGATTTTATTTCAGTTTGTTATCAATGGATTTTTAAATGTGGAGACATTTTTCTTTATTAGGTATTTCATAAACATTTTAATTTATTTTCTATCATATGTGATAATATACATCTAATATACAATATTAATAAAGTTAAAACTGATAATTTAGAAATTATTAGTTTTAGAATCGAGCTAATACGGTTAAATAAGCAATGCAATTTTTAATATATATATGAAGTGCTTGAAATAATATGAGAGAACGATGAGTCACGTTTTTTAAACTGTGCATTACAGCGAATTTTTAGAAAAACTCCTCAATTTCTAGGCAAGCAAAAAATATTTCAGAATATTAAGCTATTATCTAGTGGAAGTATATAAAAACAATATATGTACTTAGGAGCAATTTTATGACAAAAATATCACAGTTCTGGAAGAAAAAAAATGTGACGAATAACTCTACTGCAAAAAAGCATTTTGTATGATGTGCGGCTATGTATCAGCGATTCCTGAATGTTCCGCCGAACTGTTCAGGGAGTCCCAAGAGTTAATACTTTTCTGGAACCAATAATGATTTTTAAAACATATAATTACATTTAGATCCAATAGATAATCTATTATTTATTTAATATTTAGATTGCTTTCATTAAATTAATGAAAGTAAAATGCAATGAAAAAGGAATGGCAAATTAAAAAAAAAAAAAACTATTTTCATAACGACAATATATTGAATGAATTATGAAAAATTCTTTAATATTTCTCAATACGCTTTTCCAATCAGAATAAAGTACTAAATTTGTTAATATGGTTCTCGTTTTATGTTTCCATTTTCTACCATTTTCAACACTTACAGCAGTTCTTTATATATTTTTCTTTACAAAAACAAACCATTGTTCGACTTTTTTTTTCCTTCATTTTCAGCTTGTTTTTACGCCAAAAACAAATCCAGTCTAGATATAGCTACTGGTCCTCGAATTTAACTATGGAACATAAAATCTAATTTCAGATAATGAAACGATGAAAAATAGTTTTTTCCTCTTATTAAATATTTTAAAAATAGTCTGTTATTGGTCAATACGATGATTGAATATTTGTAATCGGCGTAACGTGTGGATCAGCCAATCAGGTTCGATGCACATGCGTGACGTTGCTTGCAGGGATTCAATTAAATCTAATCCGAAAATTAATTCAGCGTAGCAATAAACACAAGTCTTAAAACTGCAACGATAACACACCATGCATTAGGCATAACCATGTTATTAGCTGTAGTTATCACTTTGATTAGGTTTAAGTCATCCCTTTCAATACATTATTCGCTACTTTGATTTTTCAGCTCTGTACTAGTTGCTTATGGAGTTAAGAAAATGAAGGCAAGGACCCTTAATGTGCCACTTTTCATAATTAGAAGATTCTGGCGGTGAGTACGAGCACAATTAATACCATTTGTTTATTTATATTCATGAAATATGTAGTGTTTTATGTCGTTGGTATTTTTTAAATTTTGGGCATAACACAAATTGTGCGTTTAAGAATGCATTTTTGGCAAAAATGAACATAGCTAAAAACGGGAGTTAAAACAATTGACAGGAACTGAAATGAATTTTTAAAAAAATTGATCATGGCACAAATGTGTATATAAAGAAAATGGGCATAACTTAAAATGTATCTTTAAAAAAATGAGTAAAGCTAAAAAAAAAAAGAAAAAAAAAATCATTTTTTATGTAAAACAATGAACATATATTTTTAACTCTTACGTTACCCCTTTTAGGAACAGCAAATTTCGATTGAAAATTTTTGGTCAAGACAGCGGTACAAAGTTTGGACCACTAATTGTTAATTTTACTTCTTACGTATTTCACTATATCTCGAAAATTTTTAAACTAATTGAAAAATCTCTGCACCCAATTAGAGAATTAATTTGTCCAATGATAATATTCCATTCCATGCCAAAAAAATACATTTTAGTAAATATTATATATATATATATATATNCTCATATATATCATGTATTGATTAGATATATATATATATATATATATATATATATATAATGTTGAAGTTATAGAAATAAGTTGAAATTGCTAACAAAATAAGCGAGCATTTTAATCACTAAAAAATTAGCAATTAAAATTTTAATTTAAACTCTCTCAATGTAATAAGAATTTAATAAAAAAATCCTAGTTAAGAATTAAATTATTCGTCAGAAAAAATAAAATTTTGATAAAATGAATTTTATAAAAAGCTTGATGAAATTTGACGCCTGCCATTTGCCAACTTACCTCAATATGACTTTTTCCCAAAAGTAGGGCTACCGGATAGTGCACCAAATAACTCTTTGGAACATTTCATTAAATAATTGTACCATTTATCTATCCATCCTATAACTAATCTCAATTGTTGAGTGGTATAACAGTAACGATAGAATCCTTCAATACTCACTACAGTAAAAATGCGTCCTATGTCAACTTACCTTCGTCCCTTGTAATGTGTAATGTGGGTATCTAATGTAGGTATGTAATGTGGGTATAGAAGGGAAGCCCCGTTCTTCCCTACTATACCTACATTACATTCATGATGTCTGGTCTAAGCAGTAGACAACAATGCATTAGTCTTTTATTTGAACAGCTTGTATATATAGAAGATCCGTTAATGATTAATCCAGATAGTATTTTCTAGGCTGTCTCCTTCATTCATGCTGGTTATTGTCAGTGTGCAGCTGATGCCTCTTCTCGGATCAGGACCAGTCTGGAAAGAGACTGTTGTTCAAGGTTTGACTGAAAAATGTCAAAATTATTGGTGGGCCAATTTTCTGTACATAAATAACTTCATTCCCAGCGCAAAGGCGGTAAGATTTTTCCTCACTTATCGCTTTTTTTTTTTTTAATTTTTAAAATCGTGTATCAGAACGATAGCTGTCAACTTTTGGGATCCATGAGAACATACTTAGAATAGTATGCATAGATGTCAGCCCATGAGTTTTTCCTCCTCACGGTACATAAAGTGGTAGCGAAACAATATTTGACTCCATTTATGCCCAGGCACAAAAAGCGGTCTACACATAAAAAATTGTTCACAGAAAAAGTGATAGCACATACTTGTTTATACCAAATGGATATTTCTTCTGTTGATTACCACCAAAAAACTTATGTAATGTTACTAATTTCATATCCTATTATAAAGGTTTATATTACTATATTGTGAAATCAAATCTACCTTGTTTCGAAAATTAATCCTAGCAATTAAACACTAGTTTTATTACTTTTTTCTTTATCAAAACAGCAACTGCCATTTAAAAGGACACTACTTTACTTACTTTATTTAACAAAAGCTGGGCACCTGGGCCGCGCAGAAGACCATATCCCATTCATCGTGAAATTACAATAAAATTAAAAAATATAAGCAGTTTGTATACAGAGTCTCTGGGGTGACTGATATTGTTAAAAGGACACTAGACACAATCATAATTAAAATACAGGCAACTAAAAATGTAAAATACTGGTGAATAATGAATTGCGATAATCTTTTAAACGAAAGTTACATTTTCAACTTTCTTTGTAGCATATTTCTTTCAGTTTACTGTTCAGAATTTCTGCAAAGAATGTTTTCGCTTTAAATATGATTAGTAGACAATGTAAGTCGTAAGTCATGATTGTGGTTACGATTCAATAATTAAATAAATAAAGATGAAGTGTGTTTCTATCACTTCTTATAATTTTAGTCACCTTTGCCATCTCTGAGCTGTCGTCATGCATGTTTAAGTTGCAATAGTTAAAAGTAGTAGTAGTTAAAAGTATATTAAATTAAATTTGTTAAAATAGGACAAACATGAATGTAAAAGTTTTGTAGGGACTATAAAGAATTCTAAATCAAATTTAACTATCAAATAATTTATTACAAAAGCTTTAATCTTAATATTACTTTGAATATAAACATAAAATCTTGCGCAGAATGCGGGTCAGTTGGCAGCTATATTTTTACCGAATGCCATCTAATGTGAATAAGAAAAATTTACCCTATTTTTGCAAACCCTATTTGTCATCAGTCGTATTTCAATTCCGAATTTGAGTTGTCCCGATGTGATCTATTTTAAATGTTTTGTATTCTTTTCCGTGTAAGTGTTGTTTTATTTTGTATCTATTTTTAGGTTATATTATTTTGCAACTATTTTTATTAAGAGGATCATATCCTTTCATAGGTTATAAAGTATAATAGTTTAGTTTTTCGGTGTTTGTTTTTATAGATGAATAGTTACATATATATTTAAATCTGAAACATTGAACTGATTTAAAAAATAAGTAAACTTTTTATATTATGATCAAAGAAGTGCTAAAACTATATTAATTTTATATTCCAGTGTCTACCGTGGCATTGGTATATCCCAGTTGACACGCACCTGTATATGTTAAGCTTAGTTGTTCTTATTCCTCTTAAAAAGTACGTATGTCCGCCAACAATCCCTTAATAAAATTAAATAAATTTTAATTTCTTATTCACTATTTGTAATTACTTAGACATCCTCTGCTTGCTTTTGTGCTCAATGGAGTGATTCTTGTTTGCGGCATAATCATTACAGCTGTTAATAATGTCTACTATAGACTGCCTCCTACTGCGATATACGTTTACAATCATCCAGAGTAAGTACTGTTTGTATATTTTTTTCCATATAGAATTATAGAGTGTTATTAGAAAATCAACAAGTATTATTCATAAAATGTTTTTAATTTTAGAGATACAACAAATGGTTATGCTTAACCCTCCTGGCGTTTCCCCTCTCTCTTAGTTTCTTACTACAAGCGGCAGACATATTTTAGAAAGATGCCACGAAAAGTGTCGAGGGTCGGACAAAAGGTATGCTTTCCCCTTTCCACTTCAATTTGTGGTTAAAAGGGGTGATTATCGGTCTAGGAGGTCCAGGTGGGTCATGACAGTTTGATGGATGAATCGCGTATGTGATTCACTTTTCCGAAAGTCATTTTTGAACTGTGGTCAACATTGCACTTTCCTCTGAAATATCAAGCAATGAAGAAGACATTTTTACTGATAAGATTATTGCTTTTAGGTTAAATTACACTTTTTCTTGTCCTTTGAACTTTGACAATGATAACGTTGATATATAACATCAAAGGTTGTTATCAATATCCCCTGTGATGGTACTGAATAGGTTCTTTCTACTGATATTTTTTCCTTCCTAGCTCTTTTGACTTCTGTTATTTCCCAGATACAATTGCCAAGTTTTAAAAAAAAAATGTGCATCCTTTTTAATTTACTTCAGTTCTAAGTTCATGTAGGATGAGAACAATTTCGTTGATATACGTGTTAATAACAAATCATATTTACCTTTTTAATCCACATTAATGATATCTTTGAATTTAAAAAATAATTTATAGTACTTATATAGTACTTATATAATAGTACTATAGATGCGAAATATAACGTCAATTCAGTGGATATTATATTTTCATGTATAATGGCTCTTTTTCTTTGAGAGGGAGAAAAAGCTTTTGTTAAGCGCTACTGTTTCAAAACGAAATATCCATTTTTAATTCATCGTTTACGCGATTGAGTAAAAATCGTTAGGTATTCTAATAGAGATTTATAAAACTTCAAAAAATATGAATTTCTATTTACACTAGTAGTTATTAAGCAAAACTGCATTTTTCATTACATTTTTTCATAGTAAAAATAATATTAAGAATGAAAACATATCAAAATCTTATTAAATTTCGCATGCAAGGAATAAATATCAGTACAAGAATCATTGCAAGAATATTTTTTCAAGCAAAGGCGGGATCAGGGGAGGGGGAATTGCTCCCCTGTCGGGCATGCCCCCCCCC